CCTACAGACTGTCCTGCCTACAGGCCGTCCCGGCCCCACCTGCCCTGTACTCCTTTCTCTGACTCTGACTGGCACCTTCTCCCCCCTCATGACCCTGGGCCCCCTGCGGCATACAGCTGCCCCTTCTCACCACCCCGCTGCCCATGCCGGCCCAGGGTCCAGTGGCTCCTGCCTCATCTCTCCGCCTCTGCTCTCTGCTGCTCGGATCCACTTTCTGTCCCTCCCCGAGTAGTTTTCAGCTCATTCATTGCCCCAACTGTGCAATATTCTTTGTCCATAAAATGCTCTAGACGGAGGGATCTTGGGGTTGCTCTACCACCCCCAATCCTACCCGTCTTTCAGCCTCTGTCTGATTCTCCTCACCCCAGCTCCACAGGCAGGCAGGGCTGCTCCCCACGCTCGGTCATGGCTGCGCCCCGTCCTGCCTTTCCACTCCCTTTGCTCCGATGGAAGGCCCCCCGCCCGCCCTCTGGGCCAGCCCGGCGCAGGCCCGCTCACACCTCACTCCAGCTCCCTCGGGCCTCTGTGCCTCACCCAACTTTGTGCTGCTCTTGGGGGTTCACTTCATTTGGTCGTGACGCCCCACAAGGCAGAACCTGCCAGCCGGGGCTGCGCCTCCCTCAAGTGTGTGCCCCCCATCCTCTCTCCCGTAGTGGGAGTTTCAGAGACGCTGTGTTCACTGAGCCGCGTTCATCAAGAAGCCACTTTACGCGTCGCTGAGAGGGACAAGGAAGAAGCCAGGAGCGTGCCCGTCTCTGGAAGAAGGAGCCCGCGGCCGGGGGGGCCAGAACCCCCAGAACCCCCTGGTGGGGCCGACAGGCGGCCCCACCAGGCCCAGCCTCGTGGGTCATGGGCTCCTCAGAGTCTGGTGACGGCGCCGGCGCCCCGCTTCCGGGCATAAGCGCCCACTCGTGCTAACTCGCGTGTCATTTAGGTGGCCCACGGGTCTCTTAAAGCCCAGCCCCGGGGGGCACGAGGCCCCGCTTCGCTGCTGCAGGCTCTCCAGCCGGAGCCGGCCGTCAGGAGCCGCACCCGAGCGGAGCGAGGCGGAGGGAGAAGTCCTGCAGTGTCCCTGGGCCCAGCCTTCCTGCCATGTGCCCTGCCTGCGTCTCTGCCAGCTCTGGGGGCCTCCCACAACCCTGCCCTGTGGACCCCACCCTGGGGGGAGCCCGAATAAGCCGCAGACCTTGTAAAACACAGTATGTCAAGACCCGCTTAAATCCCTGAGGAACAGAGCCGGAGATTAGAACTCGTTTTCCAAAGCTCAGGATCTCTGAGGGGCCTAGAGCCCCTAGGAGGGGAGTAGAGGTATGGGGGACCCAGTCTGTGCCTGTTACTAGGGTCTCAGCAGCGTGCCCAAGAGAACAGTCTGGTAACGGGGACCAGACTGTTTCAGTCTGGGGGACCAGAGCTCGGTTTTCAGTCTCAGCCAGGACACCTGCTCAGCTACCTGGCGAGCTTGCAATAGGAGTTGATGGGAACGAGGCGAGAAGCAAACTATGAGGCCAAAGGCAGGTCCTGGGGGAAGCTTAGGCCCCGCGAGGCATCTCCATGGGAAGGCCGCCCCCCTCCGTCAGCATCCCGGGAACAGCTCTGCCTAGCCGCCGCCGGGTGGGTGCGGGCATACCCATGCCCGCCGACACGCCCGCCGACACGCCGACACGCCTGCCCCCATCCTGAGTGGCTCCTCCGGTGAGAGGCTCATGGGGCGGCCAGAGGCCCAGCATCAGGGCCAGCGCACCAGGGCCGTGCAGAGAAGCTGCCCTCGGGCGCACTCATGGCGACGGTCTGAGGTGTGAAGGGATGATGGGCAACTGGCCGGGGTGAGGAGGCAGAATGGAGAGCAACGGGCTGCCCTGGAATGTTCTTTTCCGCTGCCACTGGGCTGGTGAGAAAGAAATCCTTCCCCACCCTGGAGCGCGGGCTCCCTCGAGAAGGGGGGCCATGACCTGCGTGTTTGGCCAGCACCCGGGCCTCCAAGGCTGGACCGCACTCGGCCACGTCCTACTTGCTCTGTGGAGGAGACACTGTCACGGACACAGTGTTCAGGCCCCCTGGCAGGCCCTGGACCTGGCAGAGCTCGCTCCTTGGGGACAGACAGGTGTGGTCACCAGCCGCACCTCCTTCAGATCGCGGTCCTACTGGGCGATGTCTCTACAGCAGTGGGTCTCCATGGGGCGCATTTAGTCCCCAGGGACCTTTGGCCATGTCTGGAGACATTTTTGTTGTCACCTGGCAGGTGGGTGGGGTTGCTACAATTATCTAGTGAGTAGAGGTCGGGGTGCTGGGCAACACCCCACAACAGGATAAGCAGTCTGGACGGTCCACGGTGGTGACCCCAAAGCCCTGCCCACAGTGTCCAGGAGCAGCACGGCAGCTCTGGAAGGCCCAGGGTCAGGCCTCTGGGGCCGTTTGGCCCGGCACTCATGGAACAGCCCACGCGCCGGCTGAGTGGCTTTGCACCTTCAAGTCACAGCAACAGGTGGGCAGTGTTACACCCAGAGGCCATGAGCCCCAGGTTTCCAAGCCCAGACAGTAATTAGGTTGCGTGTCCATCAGAGAAAATGAAGTTCTGCGATCGGACCAGATGCACACCGAGATGCAACATCCTGTTGGATGAGTCAGGCGCTGAAACAATCATCTCGGCTCCCGAGCTGGAGATGTTTCAGACAAATAGGAGCACCCCGAATTCACAGCAGCATTTGTGGCACCAGATGGGCCAATGAGCTAAATGCCGCCTCTCAGTTCCGAGGGACCCACCAGCCTCCTTCCGAGAGGGGTTAATGGTCTGTGAAGCAGCTCGCGGCTTCCACCGCCCACACGGATGCCAGGCAGCAGCCGCGGGAGGTGGGTGAGCATCTGGGAGTCTCAGATGGGCCCCAAGTCCCTCCGCAAAGCGGGACTGACCGGGAAACTGAGCAAAGAGCCACTGGGTGTTGGGGGTCAACCATGTGCAAACAGACGGTGAGCCGGCCGCCAGGGAGAGCAGCAGCTGACCATGCTGTTGCGTGTCTGCCACTCCAGTCTCAAACCACCCTCACCACGGGCCAGCTGGAAGCTGTTTGCTTTAGCAGGTGTTGCTAGAGGTGAGGGGAGCCCTGGTGGGCAGATGATGGACAGTACAGCGGGAAACAGAGCGGCTGCAATCAGCTGCGAGTGTCCACGCGGTGGAGACGGAACTGCCATAGGGAGGTGCGTTTGCTACCAGCAGTTTTAGATAAATGCCTGCAGGCCTCTAGCGGGTTGTGGCCTCTCAGACAGTGGATGGAGCCTTCCCGCTGAGTTGGTGGCCGAGGGCCACTCAAGGAGCCGGACCAGGACTGGAGTGGGCTTGGTTGTGGGGGCTCTTTAGCACCCAAGTGGTAGCCTAAGAACCAGTCCCTCTGGGACCACTGACCCGGAGGGAGAAACAGAGGCCTGCTGACCCCGAGTTGCGGCGCCCCGGGCACAGCTGAGTGTAGGTAACTCGAGGAATCGGCCTTTTACGCAGCGAGCCTCTGTGGCCGCCACCTGCGTCCTGGCTGGTGTGAAGGCGGCAGGCATTGGGCGCGTGGCCCGGGAGCGTGGCTCGGGCACGTGCGTGTGCCTGACGGTAGGCGGCCGGGGCACGCGTGCGCATGCGCGCCGGCGGGAGCACCGTGCCCAGAGGCGGCGAACAGCTGCCACAGCTGGAGGGCGGGCACGAGCCCGTGACTACGACGAGGTGAGTCGGACGCCAGAGAGAGCCAAGAGAAGCGCGTGGAGATCTGCGGGCTGGGGCTCGGCTGCCGTGTACGCCGCCAGCCTGTGGCTGCCACCGGCGGCCTAGCAGGTGCCAGGGCGCGAGGCGTTGGGCGCCTGCTGGC